TAATCATAACTATTTTGTCAATATTAAACGGCGCGCCACTAAATCAATAAAATTCATAGTGCAATTCGAAATAAATCAATATTTTAATACAATTTTAAATGAAAATATATACAAGGTTGCCACAGAGTAGGCAAAGTAAGTCTTAAAAGCAAAGTTTGAAAATTCTGAAAAGCACGCTATAAAAATGAAACCGATTAAAACTTGTGAAAAATCATCAATATTTGTGTATATCTTTAAAACGTAAAATTTTATATAAACGTCTTTAGTAATTGTCGCAGAATATTACGAGATTGAATTAACAGTCTTGTCAGTCAACAACCGCCACTATTAATAGACGAAAAACGATTTTGTCATCATTATTAACAATTGAAAAATTCAGAAAAAATATTTTGTAGATTTGTTTCTTTATATTTCTTTCTTTATAGCCGGAAATTCACAGAAAAAGCAAGATCAAAGGATTTCTTTTACTGAAAACCCTATGATCTAGATATCAAACGTTGGCTCGTTCCAATTCCAGATTTCCTTCACACTATCAAAAATATACATACCTTTGGACCGTTCCACAATCACCTCGTTCCGCATGTAAAAGAAAAGTTTTTTCAATTTGCGACAACGGTCGCTCGATTGGATCATTTAATAGCACTTTAGTATTCTCTTCTTCGGACTTTTCGATTAAATTCTCTCTCGACTCTGTCCCCTTCATAATTGCAGTTGTTGTACATGGTTTTTTTAACTGTCTCTTTAAAACAAATATTCATTAAACGGATTAAATTCAGACGGAATTATGTTAAGTCCACAGTAGGGAAACCCTTTAAGTCCAATCGATGTAGCATTAATTTGATTAAAAAGTATGAGACCGGTTAGGTGCTGGGTCAAACAGAAAAGCGACGATTGCGGACAGTTTTGATCCCATGGGAAATTAGAGGCATGATGTTGCAGAATAAGGCAAATAGGGACGGAAACCTGTATCATATTATCGATGTTGAACAGGAAATTTTCTACCTTGTATTTTGTTATATTTATTATGTTGCCCTTCGCTTTCAAATGTTGCTAACATCTCTTTAAAAAACCATTCCTTAATACATATGAAAGGTTGCTTGTTGAAATCATCGCCTTTGGTACTTTTTTTTTTATTAATTCAGCAGATGATAATTTTGGACATTTTTTTTATTTTCCAGGCTACAAAATCACTGGTGTTCACAGGATTTTTTAAATATTTTAACTATAACATATTTGTATTCCATTTTATTTAACTTCCTGATGTTTGCCTAAAATTAACATATAAAAATGATAAGGTATATAATTAGCGACGCTTTGCATTTTTCTCCAGCACTACAGTTTGGTAACGAAGTATTAAGCAAAAAAACTGGTTTTCACATGAGCCAGTTCTATACACTTTACTTCGCATATCGTGCATTCTAATGGATATCCATACGCATTCTTCATTGCGACAAAGTTGTTATTTTCTTCAAAATGCTGGTAGTTGCAGTTTTTGACAAACTATGTAGTTAACGGTGAGAAACAGTTTGATTATATTAACCGAATAATTATTTGTTTAAAGAGTATTGTTTTCAGTTGATTAATGCGTGTGGTATATTTTAATATCAATTTAACAATTAATGAGAAATATTTGAAAAACGGTTTGCAACAAGGCATCATACTACATTTAAAAACTAGTTCGTAATAACTCAGCTTTGACCTTTTTACCTCAGTTTCACACGTGTCTGAATAATAGGTTAATCCAATTTGCTAAATAATATAAGAAGATTAAATCTGGAGATTATAGACGACTTACTTTTGCTTTTTATTTTTGAATATATTTATTATGACTGGCAAAAATGGAACTTGTTCTGGCCTGTCAATAATAAAATGTAAGTTTTTGAAAATGAATAATGGTTGTAGATAACGTCTTCGATTCCAGCTAATTTTAATTAAATTAATTTTTTATAGCTAGATAAGTAATAGTTTAAAGGTTTATGTGTAATATAAACTTATATAAAAAATTGATCTGAAATTTTGTCGATGGTATTTAATAAAACTGATGTTAAGTTAGGTATTTTTACTAAAATAATTTAAAAAAAATTGATTTGTTGTATTCTGTTTCAGATTGTAAATTGCTCGAGGTGGATTGGCGATAAAGCCCATTCGTTAAGGATGGCTAATAACGACGTAACTTAATTTATTTAAAAAATGTTTTCTTTATGAAGTCAACAAATGTTGCAGGAAGATGTGGAAGCTAAAGTGGGTAAAGGAATAAGTTCAGTTCCAATCCTACCAAAAATGCTCAGTTTGGAGGAGAAGAAATATTTATTAGCCATTGAACGGGGCGATTTACCGCATGTTCGAAGGTAATTATTTGGGATTTGAAACAGACGTTATTTTCTAACATTTCATACAGAATGCTTGGGAGGTTTTATAAAAATGTATTCATTATAGTCTAATCTGCTTCCAATCTTGTAATTAAAATCAATATAGGCTGTTAACTAGATTTTGCTATACGACAAATATTTTTCACATTTTTTCACCCCAAAAAGTGATTCGCATTGGAAAAAAGGAAACATTTTCTTTTCCATATTGAACGTGAACTTCATTAGTTTACGACAAACTGCTAAAAGTATCATTTTTATGTTTTTGGGTCAAATATAACAAATAATAAAATATTGTCTTCTCCCTTACTTAAGTTTTAACTTGGAGTTTGAGATTTAGTTCCGATAGAATGGCAATAATTTATTATTTACGCTTTTTGAAGTCTGGGAAAATTTTGAAAATAGTAATTTATCAAACAAATAAAGAACTAAAATGAACGAAAGTTTCCTGAAAATTAAACTAATTAATATTTTCAAAATCAATTTTGTGCCAAACAATAAATACTATTTTTGTTATACTGAATCACTGTCTTGCTTATTTTTAAGTACAGTAATATTATAATAACAATAATAATAGTAATAATAAGAACAGATAATAATAATGAAGACGGTTGGTAATGTATCGTGATTTTCGAGAATCGCAAATCGACGTATTTGCATTTTTTTCATTTCGAATTCACCGAAAAACACGTTTTAAGAGAAGCACTTTATAGGATTTTACAAGATTTAGAAAAATCATTTTATATCTTTTTTAAATTGTTCATTTAAGAATTACGAATTAATTAGCAAATTTTAAAAATCTGATATCTGGTATATACTTACTTAAGAAAATGTACTAGTATTAACAATGTTATTGAAACGTTTTCAAAACTAGAACTATTTATCTCAACCTGAAAAGAATTAATTGCGAAGAATCTTCGGTATTTTTCAAAATATAATCTTCATTAAGTCGTTTGAGATATTATAGGATGCTGCAAAAAGTCCAACGAAAAAAATTCTTCGACGTGAATTGCGTGGATAGTTTAGGACGTGGCGCACTAACTATTGCAATTGATCAGGAAAACCTGGAATTGGTGGAACTTTTGGTAGTCATGGGCGTGGAAACTCGAGACGCACTTTTATATGCTATTAGTGTTGAGTTTGTGGAAGCTGTTGAGCTGCTTCTGGAGCATGAAGAGCTCCTACATAAGGAAGGAGAGTTATATGTATGTTTTTTACAATTTGAAGAATTTCTCATTTGCGTTTTTGCATTCGTTTTAGAGCTGGCAAAAAGTGGATATAAATACAGCCACATTTACGCCGGACATAACTCCTCTGGTTCTTGCTGCTCATAGGAACAACTATGAAATTTTGAAAATTCTCTTAGATAGAGGAGCGACTATTTCGATGCCTCATGATATCAAGTGAGAACAGGTCCAATCAATTTTCGATTATTTAAAATTCCAATAATTTAGGTGTGGTTGCGATGACTGCGTTAATCAATCAGAAGAGGATTCACTAAGGCATTCACTATCCAGGCTGAATGAGTACAAAGCTTTGGCCAGTCCTTCATTAATAGCGCTCTCGTCCAGCGATCCGCTTCTCACAGCTTTTCAACTTTCTTGGGAATTGAGGAATTTGGCTTTTGCCGAACCGGTAAGTGATCAAACAGTTGATCAATAAGGATTAATAATGATTTGACTTGATTAACTACAAATAATCACTTGCAAAGTTTAATGTTCGTAAAATTATGCAACAATATTACTTTTAATTTTTTTTTACTTAATTTTCCACATTCCTATTCTTATCAGATATCATAATAAAGAATACCGTGAGCATCAATGTAAACATATGTTACAGTGAAGAACTTGTGTTCCTGATTTTTTATTTCACTAGAAAGGGGAGATACCACAGTAAAATAGATAAAAACGTGACCAGAAGTAAGAAATCTTAATAATGATAACACTTTCTTTTAAACTTATTAAAATTATTTATTATTCAAACATGGAGATATAGTAAATGCAGCTTTAATCCCTTCATTACGGAAGCATGTTAAAAGCGCGATTTTCTTTCTCAATATGAAGAACAGTATTTTGGGCGTGACCGGTGAGTGTCTTGTCAATCGACGCAAGAAGATTTTTTTGAGAATTTATCAAACTCCACGTGGAAATTCTTGAAGGGCAGTTCGGAATTTAAAAAATTATCTATTCCAAACTCTTAAAATATATTCAACCGCGATATTCGCTTTCAACATGAACAAGGGTGTTTTAAATGCGATTGGTGAGTTTGGTCTTAATCGGCTCAAGAAGAAGTTTTTGAGGAATTTTTTTAGTGTGGAGAGTGGAGATTCCTAGAGAGAAGAGAGAGAAGCGCAGTTCGGATTTTAAAATTTTCACGTTTCCGAACTAGAGGGGATACATGGGCGAAATTCTTCCTCAACTTGAAGAAGGGTGTTTTAAATGCGATTTGTGAATTTGGTCGCAATAGGCGCAAAAAGAGATTTTGAGAATTTTTCAAACTCAACTTGGAGATTCTTGTAGCGCAGTTCAGATTTAAAAAATTTGTTGTTTCCAAAATGGATGAGATATAAACGCAATTTTCTCCCTGAATGTGGAGAAAGGTAGTTTGAACGTGATCGGTGAGTTTGGTCTGATTTGGCACTTGATGCAGTTTTTGAGAATTTTTCAAACTCCCCGTGGAGATTCCAGAAGCGCTGTCTGGAATTAAAAATTTTCTCGTTTCCAAACTAGAAGAGATACAAGGGCGATCTTCTTCCTCAACATGAAGAATGGTTTTTCAAATGTGAGTTGTGAGTTTGGTCTCAATCGGTGCAAGAAGAGGATTTTGAGAATTTTTCAAATTCCACTTGGAGACTCTTGAAACTCCGGATTTCAAAAATTTATTGTTTCCGAATTAGAAGATATTCAATCACGGTTTTCCTACCGAACATGAAGAAGGGTGTTCTGAATGTGATCTGTGAATTTGGCCTCAATAGGCTAACGACAAAAGTTTTGAGAGTTTCAAATTCTGCGTGAAGATTCTGGAAGCGCGGTCGGATTTAAAAAATGTCTCGCTTCTAAACTAGACGATATATAGGGGCAATATTCTTCCTCAATATGAAGATAGGTGTTTTCATTGTGATTGGTGAGTTTGGTTTCAATCGGCGCAAGAAGAGGTTTTTGAGAATTTTTCAAACTGCACATGGAGATTCTTGAAGCGCAGTACAGATTTCAATAATTTTTTGTATCCGAAATAGAAGAGGTACAATCACGATTTTCATCCTGAACATGACGAAGGGTATTTTTAATGTGACCGGTGAGTTTCGCTCAATCGGTTGACGACAAAATTTTGGCGAATTTTTCATTCGTAGTCTACGTGGAAATTTTTGAAGCGCAATCCGAATTTAAAAATTTCTCATTTCGAAACTAGAAGAGAAACGAGCGCAATTTTCTTCATCAACATGAAGCAAGATGTTTTGAATCTGGTTTGTGAGTTTGGTCTCAATCGGCGTAAGACTAGGGTTTTGAGAATTTTGCAAACTCCACTTTTGGCTGAGATTGAGATTTTTGTAGCGCAGTCCGGATTTCAAAAACGTGTTTCCGAAATAGAAGAGATACGAGCGCAACTTTATTCCTCAACATGAAGAACGATGTTTTGAATGTGATCCGTGAGTTTAGTTTAAATCGGTTTAAGAAGAGTTTTTTTGAGAATTTTTTAAACTCTAGGTGGCGATTCTTGAAGCGCAATCCAAATTTTAAAATTATGTTCTTTCCAAACTAGAACAGCTACTAGCGCAATTTTCTTCCTCAACATGGAAAAGGATGTTTTGATTGTGATTGGTGAGTTTGGTCTAAATCCGCTCAGAAAGAGGTTTTTGAGAAATTTTCCAAACTCCATGTGGAGACTCTTGAAGGGCAGTCTGGATTTACTTTCTCGAAGTAATAGAAGGCGTTTAGATTGTGATCTGTGAGCGTGGTCGCAATATTGAACTTTAAACACTCACAAGTTTAAACGAGTCGTCAGCTGCTTACTATTAGTGTTTAAATACGTTTAATTAAAATTGTTAAAATTGCTATTGAAAATTTTATTAATTTCAAAATATGCATGACCCATTAGTTTTATCATAAAGTTACCTTTACTTTCTCTTTTTTGTATTAAACATTTTTATCTGAATCTGTCTATATTATTCTATATGAATTTTTATATGAATTTTTATCAGTGTCATGAAATTAAAATAACATTACCAGAAAACACGTTTATTACAAAATGCGAATTTAGTGCATTTCTCAAATTTTGATCTGCAATATGTATTTAGGAATCCAAGTCCGAATACATGGATTTACGCAAACAGTGCCAACAATTCGCTGTAGATTTACTACAGCAATCTCGAAGTTCCAGTGAACTGGCGATAATATTAAACCACGATCCGGATAATCCTCCATATCAGGAGGGCGAACACATGAAACTGGCACGATTGGAGCTTGCAATTCTATATAAGCAAAAGAAAGTAAATTTTTGAATTCTCACTCAAATTGCTACTGCAACTAAACCGTAAATAGTTTGTAGCCCATCCAAATATTCAGCAACTATTAGCAGCTCTCTGGTATGAGGGAGTGCCAGGTTTCCGCAGAAAATCCAGCCCTCAAAAACTAATGATTATTATGAAAGTCACATTGTTATTTCCATTCTATTGCCTCCTATACACATTTGCGCCGGAAACCAAATCTGGGAAACTGATGAGAAAGCCGTTTATGAAGTTTCTGATACATGCTTCGTCTTACTTATTTTTTTTATGTAAGTGAACGGTCAACGAAATTTTTGAGTAAAAAGTGATTGAATTCGTTCCAGTATTGCTGATATTAGTTTCGCTGCGAGCTGACGATTTGTTTTTTGAACATTTTGGCTCTCAGTCAATGAAATCCTCTGTGTTGGAACAGTATCAAAAACAACGGGGAAATCCACCATCTATTCTAGAGTATGCTGTTTTGATTTATGTATTAGGTAAGTCTTGAAACTGTGCCCTAAGTCAATAAAACAGACCCGGTAACTTATTATAGGATACATATTTGAGGAAACGCATGAAATCTTTACTGAAGGCATTCAAAGCTACTTAAGAAATTTGTGGAACTTTATAGATTTTACAAGAAATCTCTTCTACGCATTAACTTTCGTCTTGAGAGCTGTAGCTTACCTTCAACAAATAAATGAAATCCAAAAGGATCCCACAACAGCTTTCCTTCGTAGGGAACAGTGGCACTCATTTGATCCTCAACTGATTGCCGAGGGCTTATTTGCGGCAGCAAATATCTTCAGGTAAGCACAAAGCGTTAACCCCATATATATTTTTTTTATTAGCAACTCGCGTGTTTTCGATAGTGCCTTAAAATTGGTTCATCTGTTTTCAATCAACCCACATCTTGGACCGCTGCAAATATCTCTTGGTCGAATGGTCATCGACATTGTAAAGTTTTTCTTCATTTATACGTTGGTACTTTTTGCATTTGCCTGTGGTAAGTTCTGGTTATAATTGCTAAGGTTGTGTGATTTTTGTATAGATAATGTTAATAATCTAGGAAGTTGGTTACAATAAAATCTGGTCATTGTTGGTCTTACTGTCGTTGTTCTCACTAATTGCTCAAAATACTATATGTTAAAATTAAATAGTATTTTTATATGAAATTTACGTAATATTCCTTATTCTTAAAAGTGGAAGCACGATTGTGTTGTATTAAAATTGGTCTTTCTCCTTTGTTCTTAAGAAGTGACACTATTTTTGTATTTTCGGTTTTCTTTCTGTAAACTTTTCTTCTTACTGTAAATACTTATGCTTAAAAGCAAATCGAAATATATAAGCCAATTGAGTTATACTAGGCTAGGACATACATTTTTATTTGCAGTTTTTTATTGCAGTTCCCTTAGAGTTAATTTTATTAATATTAGTTATTTATAGTCATTTTGAAAAAATATTCAACATATCTCAAATGTAGTGATTTTCTTCTTCTTTCTTTCTTCAGAAAATCAACAAAATTTGATAAGTAATCGATTATTCCTTGTCTCGGAATATTTTCTGATTTTATATCATTTTAAAGACTCAAATGATAATTTTTCATGAATTTTTATGTTGCAAAATAATTCTTTTGAAAGCTTTGCTATTAATATACCAAATGTAAAGAAGTAGATTAAGTTTCGTTTTTCCTTATAGTGTTATTTAATTTTGAATTTCGAAAGTCCTTTAAATGTTGATCTGAGTTATCCATCATTTTCCCAAATTTGTCTTCAGTGCAACAAGGAAATTTATGATCAATTTAAATAGAGCTTCCTATTTGGTTTTCAACATACAAGAAAAAATTACTGAAACTGATCACAATTGAAGTGAGTAAATGCATGTTTAGGTATATGAAACGATTTTCCTAAAAGTTTTTACCCATTTGCTCCATTGCTTCTAATCCTATTCTCGAACGGCTTGTATGTAAATATAGTAGAAACTACCTTATTACTTTTTCCCCAACGGAGCAAATAAAATGAAATTTATAAACCATCCGAATTAATGATACATACAAATCTGATTTTTTAAGGACTTAATCAATTATTGTGGTATTTTTCGGACTTGGAGAAACAGAAATGTTACCATTTGCCAAATGGAGAACCTGATTTCGAGAATGCTGGAGACGCATGCATGAAATGGAGACGATTTGCGAAGTAAGTCATCGTTAAAACCCTGTTAAGCATATCATATTCTTAAAAATTACTGGAGGATTTCTAGCAGGATAAACTAATTTTTTTACCACAGCGTTTTTGAATCCTCCCAATCCCTCTTTTGGGCTTCCTTTGGAATGATAGATTTGGATAGTTTTGAGCTTACTGGAATTAAAACCTACACTCGATTCTGGGGACTGTTGATGTTTGGATCTTATTGCGTTATCAATGTAATCGTCCTGCTAAATCTACTCATTGCCATGATGTCCAATTCATATGCCATGATTGAAGTAAGTACAATAATAGAGAAACTTGTTGCTTTATTGCCTAATTTTAGGAGCACTCAGATACAGAATGGAAATTTGCTAGAACCAAACTATGGATGAGTTATTTCGAGCAATCTGGAACACTTCCGCCCCCGTTTAATATTTTCCCGAAACCAAAGAACATTTTCAAATTGTTAGGAATACGAAAGAAGGACAAATTGAAGAGAATGTCAACAAAGGTATATGGTTTAAAAATGATTGGTTTGTTTCACTTTTACCTGTTTAAATCTGAGAAATTTTCCAATTTATATATATTTGAAAATGTTCCGCTTGTATGAAGGTTATCGCTTTACGCACACATCTCTTTTATTTATTTTATTATTACAACTTATTAGAGGCGAAATCGTGAAGAAAAGGAGCGAGATTACAGATATACCGCAGTTATGAGAGCTTTAGTCTGGAGATATGTATCTGCAATGCATAGAAAATGTGATGAAAATGAAGTCACTGAAGACGATGTTAACGAACTGAAAAGTGATATTTCTTCTTTCCGCTATGAATTAATGGAATTACTGAGCAAGAATGGCATGGACGTTTCATCAGCAGAACGAAAAGAAAAAGGTAAACTTCTCCAACCACTTGCTTAAAATTTTTTTGTATTGCCATTGAGTGAATGGAAAAGACCTTAAACTAGAGTCACACGGAAAAACATGTTAGGCTTAGGTTATAAAAAAATTGTTGCAATAACTTGTAAAATTATTTTGTGATAATTAAATTTAAAGTTAACAAAATTGCTAATATTTCAGCCATATTGGGAAAGAAAATGAAGATATGGGAGAGGAGGCTAATGAAAGATTTTAAAGTAGCTCCAGTGTCTCTTGACGAAGATGAAGGGTTATTTTCTCTTCCTCCAGAGGGAGAAACATCTTTGGCCAAGTAATATATAAATTATGAAAATAAACAAATATAATATACCAAAATCAATTGCAGATTTAGAAGAATCGCAAAAATGGCAGCTCAGAATTCTAGTTTGAATAAGTGGCATCAAGTAGTCAGAGGAGCATGTATTGCGTAAGTTTCGTCCTGAAAAACGTTAAGATTAATTTCTATGTACTGCAATTTAACTTTTTTTACAGTTTGTAACCATACTGTTTTCAGATCGCAAATTGGTAGATGCCATCGCAGAGACTCCTTTAAGAAACAACAAAACTTGCAGAAAGCTATGGAAGAAGCGAAACAATTAGCGGTAAAAACTCCAGATATATCGAGATCAAACTCGTCGCTTGCGTTGCCCGATTATACAGGCGAAGACATTGTTAAGCTGATTAAAGATGAAGGGTCCCCATTTCGTTAGTAACAATTTTAGAATTAGTAAGTTTACTTTCTGTGTTTGGTTTGTTTCAGCTGAATTTAAAAACGTGCTGAGAATGAGTCCTAATGTGAAAAGGGCTGAAGCAACATTATTTTCGCCAAATATCACTGTTATACCACCTCAGCTGACAAGTTTAAAGCCAGCTGAAGGTCAGCCAAGTCTACCACTGAATGAAGTAGCGGATTTGATTTACTTGGAGAGTGCTCAGAATTCTCCTGCATATAATGCGAAATCTACCAAAGATAACAGTCCCAGCCAATCTGTTAAGCAGTTACAAACCCAGGAAATACTTAAGTTGGGTATGGAATTAAAATGTGTATTAGATAGTTCAGACTCTTCAGATTGAAGTGTTCATAGTTCAAGCAGGCACCGTCGCATGAAAGAAAACCGTTTCCTTTAACGGGGCTTCAAACTGACTATTAAACTTTTTTCATTAACCCGTTTCTTTTTCCTTTGTAGTTTTGATTGCTTTTGATTTGCCTTTGAAGACGACAAAAATTGCTTTATTTCTTAGGCTGCAGAAATGTTAGCAAAAGACAGTACTAGTTTTTTAACTGAAAAAGCTATGCCAACTTCGAACAAATCCTTCGCCCCATCTTCAACAAAGCTTTGAAAATTCGAGTCATTTGCAGCAAGATTATTATAATCAGAACAAAATTCAACACCTTCTTCAATTTACTTTAAATAATAACTTAACTCATACATAATATTGTACTCTTTTTACAGATTCTACTACTGCCACAGATCATACTTTATCAGAAAATAATTCACAATCTTGCATTGATGCTTCGCACGTTCAGCCTGCATCACTTTCGAAAGCTCAAATGAATGAAGAATCACTTGAGGGTAGCACAGCTAATTTTGCTTCAGAAGACTCTGAAATTAAAGAGTGTTGCGAAGAACTAAATAAAATAATTTGTCAAGATGGGGACACGAAAGCTGGTAAGAATTTTCAGGACAAATCGAATGAAACTTATAAGTGTAACTGTAATTTCCCGAAAGACACTTTCACTGTACGTGTACGTATGCTACGCTTCTCGATCACTAGAAATCAAATTTAACAGGCCACGTTGCAGGCTTTTTACCATTACCATTACCATTTTCTTACTGATTTTTACTGTTTTACTGTCTTCCATCTTGTTTTTAGTGTGGTTACTTATTGTTTTCTTTTGATGCTGCTTATTCTCACTTTTCGTATTGGTGACTAATTTCTGTTGGTTGCTGCATTTTGCTCTTATCTATAATTTGTTTCTGTAACTATAAACGATAAAATTTATTAGTACGAAATACGCAAAGTTTGTCCCTCTGGTTGTTGGAATATCGAATTAAATTGAAATTCGACGGAAAACTAATTGTTTGTTGCATTTAAATAAATTGGAAGCAAAAGAACGTCAATATATGATTTCCAAATAGCTTTCTGTATTCTTTCAGACAATCCAAATTATAAAGAAAAGTCTCCAATTGATGATGAAAAGGACGAAATATTTGAAGAAGCACTATCCAACTTAGAGCAAAGTACATCGGCTATAGGTTTGAGCGATGGCAATTTAAAGATATCTGAAAACAAAACGGTAAGTCTTAGGAGTCGAAGTCGTTATTTTTATGTTATTATTTTATTTCATTAGTTTTTATAACAATGTCTCCAATTGATCGGATTATCTGCAGGTCCCACAAATGGGGACACATTTATGTTCAAACGAGCTTTAATAAAACGTTTCTCAAATTTTTTAGACTATGGAAGACTCATGGAAGATTTCAAGACCTACGACACCTCAATCTCTAAATCTACCATCAATATCAGCATCAAGACCTGTAAGTCCAATGGCCCAGAGAAACATTCAAAGAGTTCATATGTCTCCTGCAAGTGTAAGACAGCCTAAATATGGATGGCTTTAAATACTCATACACAAATATGTGTGAGAACCAGCTGAATAACTCGCGTAAAATGCATCTTAGTCATTATGATAATTAAGGAATAATAATTATTTTAAATACTATATTTGTACTGTAGCAGGTAGCAGGAAAATTATATTTATATGGAATATTTGAGATATAGAAGGTTTGCTGCAGAAAAACGCAAAAATCTAACAAACACTATTAATATGTCAGATCTTATGTACAGTATAAAACACTGTATACTTGGAGGTGGAAATTAAATGTACACTGTGACTAATAATTAGTAGTGTATTGTTAATAATTAAAAATCTCACATTAAACTTAAAAATGCATCGACATATTTTAGTCAATCATATTCATCATCAAGGTGATTTGGGAAAATAACAATCAATTTTCACCAAATAGAAAAGAATATGTATTTATAAAATCGAAATATAAGATGAAGGAGCAGATAAATATAAGTATCTACTAATACTAAGGATATAATTATGAGCATTTAATATGCTTTAATGCAATCACAATGAATTTGCTTTAGCTTTGCCAATTTCAAGATTTTCACACGACTCGGTTCGTCTAACCAAGTGAAACACGTTATTTTGACTTCGTTTAGTTAACAGCCTTTTAGATAAGGGAGGTATAAAGAGATCGGGATTGTAATCTTCATCTTCCACTCTTCTTTGGTTGAGTCTTCTGATGATAAAGCTCGTTAGGTAACCAACAGTGAACGTGATGAATAATCCAATTACACCGTTATACAAATAGGACACTCTGTATGGCCAAGGATAGTCTCTGCAAAACAATGATTGTTTATATGTAATTCTTTGTATACTCCCAAATAAATTTTGCATATTAATTTCAGATTACATGGACTCATATGAGTTTTTCCCCTGTTTTGTACACATTAGTGCTAGTTATGTAGTATTTAATATTATTAAGCATTCTTTCTAAGTTTAAGTATTTATTAAAATATCGAACAATAGCCGATGTATAACTTTCTATTTATAAATGGCTTTTTGGAAATGGCAAGCAGGAAATGATCAAATAGAAAATTAAATTTTCGAAAAAATGCCGGTTATTGCTTATAACAATACATTTAAAAAAACTTACGATTCATTCTGTTGAAATCCATTGGCAGTTGATATGGTCTGATTTAGTAAACTATCACACTCATCAGTAAAAACTGGTAACGGCTGTAAGGGCGGCTTTGGAGCAAACGCTAACCACATGCATGCAATCATCCCCAGCAATAGTCCAGTTAAAGACCCCTAAAATAACAAGTCTCATTCTGTATAATGAAAATTTATGGCTGAACTCACCGCTTCATTTGCTTCAAAGGTGAACATCCCTAAAGAAAACAGGCCTAAAACAGGCCCGCCGACAGCCCCAAAAATTGTCAAAGAAGCTTTTAATATTGCTCCTAAGTGATGTACCAGAAAAGCCAATCCTAGGCAGAGAATTCCGTAGAAAAGTACAATGCACTTAGTGAGTGTTGCCGCACTTTTCGGAGATAACTCTTGTCGCTTTAAGCAATTATTAATTGGCTGGAAATTAGGAAAATAACCACTCTGACGTGGACGGGACGTGGCTTCGGGTCAAAAACTACCTTGTAGTAATCTTCAAAAGTAACTGCAGCCATGCTGTTCAAAGATGCGGATATTGTGGACAGAGAAGCACTAAAGATGCCAGCGACAAATAAACCAGCTAGACCTGGAATGTGGCCCATTGTGTCAACCACATAGTACGGCATCAGCTTTAAAGTTCAATTAAAATTGTGTATCATTAGATATAAATTACCGCTCTGCTCTGTAAAAATGTACAATTCGGGAACGCTATAAAAATAATGCTACTTACTTACTTGATCCATACTGGTGATAAGACCTGCTTTCACTGGATCACAGTTGTGATACTTAGAATAAATCGCCAATCCACAAAAAGACGTCGCAACTCCAAGTGAGCAGAATATTGGCCAGTTAAGCCATAAAGCCCGCTGGGCTTTCTTCAAGTCTCTCACTGTTAAGTATCGTTGAATTTGCGTTTGGTTTACTCCATATAGCGATAGGTATAAAACACCGCCTCCAAGAACAAGAGAAAACCAGCTATGTCTCACTGTTGGATCCGGATCAAAGCTGTAATATTCTTCAATAAATTCTGTTTGGAAACATTAAACATATTAATCAACAAACTTCCAAATATTTGTTCGGTTGCCTTCCTCAGCAATTTTCCAGATATTAGTAAATCCCCCATGGGCGACTACTGCAGAGCCAATAATACTAAACACCCCGAGAAACATCAGCAAAGATTGGAATACATCAGTCATTAACACTGCCTTCATACCGCCGATTGTTGAATAAAATGTACACACTAAACCTAAGAAGAGCTCGAAATTAGAGCGAAAATTGATGTTCTGAATCGACGTACCAATAGATAACACTGCCGCTACTCGGTTGATGTTCGTGAGAGCTTCCAATGCCATAGCAGGTGCGTATATGACTACCCCTGTATATAACGTCATTTGGAGAGTATACGATAAAGAAGCAGCTAATCTGGCAGTTTTACCAAATCGCAATTCGAGATACTGAAAAATGCATTAATTTTTACACTTATAAGCTTGGCTTATTCATTATAGTCATTGTACGGGGTGCCGCTAACGTTCTGAAACGGACCATGAAACTTTGTGTGACTAATCCAAAAAACTCATCACTCCTTTCCCAATGGCACTGAGATCATATACAAGTCCTATAGAAATCACTCATACATATAGTTTAAACTATGGATAATTACAAGAAGTTAAATAATCGGGTTGGGATCGCTAAAAGTTCGTTATAGAACATTTGCGGCATCTTGTATACTACTCAGACTTCTGATATACCGGTTGATATAAAATTAGGAATTTTGCAATATGGATATTAAGGTCTACTTGGCTAACAAGTACAGTTGGTACAAGAACCAACGTGTTAAAAATATACAGGGACAAGTCTCAAGTTCATAATCAAAGTTCCACGTTCGACGACTAGAAAGTAAGATTCTGAGTTGAACCAATTAAAAATTTTGTATTTATTCAAAGTGGTTCTTGATTTTGCAGGTTCAAAGTTGCTGCTCACTCAAAACGCAACGGGGCCCCAAAATCATCAGCGCGTTGCGCTTAGAACAAATTTCGATAAATGTGCAGTGCTTCTGCTTCTGAAAGTGCAGCTAATGTTACAAAATTTTCTTTTACTTCTGGGAGTTAGTAACAGTTCAGTGTAAAGTTTTGTGGTCAAGTACCAATTTAAAACTTTGATCATCGTTCAACTGTAATTCACTCTACAAATGCAGAAAGTTCCGTAAAAATCCTTGTGAATACCGAGTTTTATATTGGAAGTTTTTCTTAAAAAAATGGGCATCTTCCCAACTAAAGCAAGTATTAATTTGAAACTGTGGCCATCATTTCTTCACACACTTCGCTCTACAAATAATGAACATTTTTTGAAGATCGGTGTGAAAACTAATTTTTGCCAGGTTAGTATACAACGGTCTCATATTGGATATTCCTACCAAACTGAAATTTATCTCTAAAAATTTTGGATCTTCCATATTAAAGGCACCATCAATCTGAAACTTGGACCATCTTTCAAATGCACTGCATATTGCATTTTTTAACCCAATTGAGCTGTGTTATTAAGAAAATTGCATCTTCCAAACTAATGCAAGACACAATTAGAAACTTTCACAATAGTTGAATCACTTTTTAGACTACCAATGCAGAAAGTTTAGTCAAAATCATCGGAAATATTTATTTTTGTAAGTTTTCAGAATATCAGTCTCATATTGGATGCTTTTAGCTCATTGCATTCTCACTTTAACAAAATTCCATCTTCCACACTAAAGGAAACCTCAGTCTGAAACTTTGACTGTCTTTGAAACGCACTTCGTTTTACAAAAATATAAAGTTTCGTAAAAATGACTGTAAATACTGATTTTTGTCAGTTTAGGTAATATCGGATTCATATTGCAGGTTCTTATCCAATTGCATTCTTTCCTTGAAAAAGCGTGCATTTTCCAGACTAACTCAAGTAGAAATTTGAAACTTTCACCATCTTTTCTCAACACACTTCGCTCGACAAATGCTGAAAATTTCGTGAAATTGGTAAGAAAATTAATTTTTGCCCGCTTTGTATACATCGGTCTCATATTAAATAGTTTACAAAATGCGCTGTTTCTTAAAAAGAAATTATGTACCAAACTAAAGCAAGTACCAATTTCAAGCTTTGATCAATTTTCACCCGCAGTTTACTCTATAAGTCTAGAAAATTTCGTAAAATCATTGTTTAAACCGTCTTTCTCTTAAAAAAGTTGGCATTTTCCATACTAAAGAAAACATCAATCTGGAACTTTGACCATCTTTCAAACGCACTGTACTGTAGAAATCCATAAAGTTTCGTAAAATTTGCTGGTAATATTGATTTTTTTTTAGTTTAGTTAATATCGGATTCTTATTGGATATTCTTGCCTTTGCTTAAAAAAGTGAGCATTTCCCAAACTAAAGCAAGTAGAAATTTGAAACTTTCACTATTTTGCAACC